GCAAGTCCAGGCCAGCCAGGGCTACACAGAGAATCCCTGTCTTGAAAAAAACAAAACAGAAAGATAGATTAGGTTTTTGATTGTCCTGGGGTGGGGCAGATATGGACGCTCTAAGCTGTTTTATCTACTTCCCAGCCCAAACTCCCATAAGTCCTTCCATGTTTTCCACTTGTTTCCCTCTGGGCTGCTTCTCTCCATCATGCCAGTCCTCAGAGCCAGCTCCTCATGGTGACCAGCTTCTTCCTCCCTCCGTCCTTTGTGCTCTCTCAGCCGACCCCCAAAGCGCTTGAGCCTTGGCTCTGCCTGCATCTCTTCTGCCCAGCCCAGTTGCAGGCAGCTTTATTTGCCAATCAGGGATAATTTGGGAGGCAAAGTTTATAGCCCATCATTTTGGATATGTAAGAATTTGTTTATAAGGTTCCTGAGGCTGACACCTTTTCTTACTGGTATTTTCATCTCCCCAGATTTCATCTCCCTGTGTCCTTTTTGTTGAATAGAAAAAGGAATATTTTTAAAACTCAGGTGGAGTACACATTGATACTATTAGCTGAGACACAACAGAGCAAACTTGCTTTGGAGCTTGTTGAATTGCAGATGGTTATTTCACATTTAGAAAATGCTTAAGACACAGTTGAAAGTAGGAGGAGCCAGGAAAAGCAGATATGACACCAGTGCGTAGATAGTTGAATCTTGGACTTTGTGGAGACGCTAGAATGAGAAGACGCATAAGATAGTTGCAGCAGTGATTGACCAGGGACAGGGACAAGAAGAACGTAGAACTGATGGAGCTAATTTTCTTATTCCTTAGCAGGATGTAATGATCTGGGAAAAAATATAAGGGCACAGGTTTTATTTTTGAAGCATCATTATTTGTGTGTGTGTGTGTGTGTGTGTGTGTGTGTGTTAATAACATTAACATGTATTTTTAAGAATGAACAAAATACGATTCCATTTTCGTATATTCTTGGTTCCTGGCCTTTACCAGTAGAAAATGCTTTTCTCATTCCATGAAATAGAACATACTTTGATGTAAAACTGGCTGCAATATCTTACATTGCAATTCATGTTTATTGAAAGTAAACAGTGCATAGCTTACTTTAAGCCAAGGACATATACATACTGTTTTTCTCTGGGACGGGGGTGGTCATTTTCATGAGAGAAGGAAGGGCTCGGTGCTGCTTTGCTTGTGGGTCTCCTTTGCTCACTTTTGATCTAGATATTGGTGGTTGTGTTCCAGTCCTCCTGCATATGCCCAAGAGGATTGGGAGTGGATGGACACCAGCAGAAGCACCATTTACTCCTGTAGAAATTAGGAACAAGGAGTATATTGCCCTGCTGGTCGAGGCTCAGGACAGAGAGGAAGAAACAAGTATAAAGGTTTTGATTTTGGAAAGAAGTTGGAACCTCCTGACCCTGGAACCTTAAGATCCACAATATTGCTGAAAGAAAAAGTACTACCTTATTGAAAGGTAAGCTATTAAACTGTTCAAGATGTTGTAGCCACAGTAGTATATTTTCATAAGCTGTTGTCAAGCTGACGTTTTTGTGACATAATCACTCATCCAGTCTCCATGGTGAGCTGCAGACTTGTGAGGCCGGAGAAAGATGTATGAGGAAGAAAAACTCTTAAAACAACTCACTTAGTTTTGAAATGACATACTGACTGCCAGGCACTGAGTTAGGCCCTGGATATGTAGAGGTTAATGAACACCCTACTTCCTACCTTCTAAGAAATTCTCACTTGAAGATAAGAAAATACCCTGATGGTTACAGCGTGATAAGTGCTATAATAATAGGTGCTAATTTAGAAAGAGTGCTCCAGGAGTAAGATACTGCAGCTCAGTGGTTGAACACCTGCCTAGCATGTTTAAGGGTCCGGGTTTGGTTCCCATCAACACAAAATGCTGTGTGAGGCAGTAGCATTCATAACTTTTTGTAGCTCATAAGGTTAGAAAAAAGGAATATGCTTCAAATTAGATATATGTTCAAAGATATGAGAAAATACATAGCATTGGAAGAGTGTACCAAAACCAGAAATTGCTGTCTGTTTGCTGTGGCTGTTTGCTGAGGAGTGGTGAGGGATTGCGGGGCAGGTGACTTTGGGCCAGTGTGGAGGCCTTGTTGCATACCATGAAAATTTAAATCTGACCATGAGGAAGCAGTCAAGATAAAAATAAAAAACCTGGGAACCTCAGTTCTGAGATGTTTTAGAAGGGTGAATATGCTATTACAATAATAATTTACCTTAGTTCTCTGATATGGCATCGTAAATGAAAGGTAACTGTTCTTACTGTGTCTTTGGCTTCTTGATCTTGGTAGCTGTGTGTCGTAAACTTTGTAGGTTACTAAAGAATAGGATTTTGACCTTAGTCTCTTAAGAGAACTCCTTTTCCACTTTGTACCAACTTTGAATATGTTTTAAATTGTATAAATGCTTCTACTCAAAGCTTATTTTCATTTTATAGAAGAAAATTAAGTAAAATAAAGAATATAATGAGGAGGTGGCCAGCTTTTGCTCTCTAAAAACAAAACAGGCACATACATTTATGTTGTCCCTCAGGAAAGAAGCCACCCTGAGAGCAGCCAGATTTGAGACTGTGCCCGTATACAGTGCTGTGTAGGAAGCTTGGAACAGCCAGGGTTCTTCAAGGAGAGGCAGGTACGAGGGTGGGTGTGGAGCTGCTGCTGGGGCTTTAGCCATCACACTCTTAAGGAATCCAGTACCTGAGATCATAGGGCCAAAAACACTAAGAAGATGATGACTCGGGCAACGGTCTGGATCTAAAGCTTTAGCAGGAGTGGCATCTGTGTTCCATGAGGTGTGAACTTCACTAAGAAGGAGGAGTAGTCACATGACACAGTGGTGTCCATATGCTAGGTTTCAGTGCCCTCAGAGACTTGCTGTATGCTTCAACCAGGGCAGTCCAACAAGCTGACAAAGGGCTCTTTGTAGAGACTGGTGGGAGAGGGTGACAGAATCTGATTTCAGTGTGGCAGGTAGTTTCAATGTTACATGCAATCTAGTTGGAACAAGAGGATCTTGTGAGAATATATTTCAGAAGGTGTCTGTCAAGGTTGGAAGCTTAGGTTAAAATCAAGTTTCAGGCCTGATAAGGACATTTTTACAAAATTAGCCACCAGAACCAAAAACATGGTGAGAGAAGAGGAAAATTCTAAGAGGGTATCTTAAAGTACTGAGTGAGACACCTCAAGAGATGGGAGATTTAGTGCCCAGAACTGCCAGTGTGACTGCTGTAGAGACGGGCCTTTCTAGGGTAGAAGTTCTGGATATGGTGATGGCTTGATCAGGAATGTGGGCCAATGGCGTAGAGACTGCCACGAGAAACCCTGTTGACACAGAGGACAGATAAGGAGTGAATCTGAAGGCAGTATCAGCCTGGGCCACTTCTGTGTATATATAACAGTTCTTACTTTGGCCCTCCACACACTGTCACACACTGTTTAAAGGTACTGTACTAGCTACATACTAACCTTCATACGCTAGTGAGAACTAAAAATATTTTAAGTATAATGAGTATAGGATGACACTTACTGAGCCCTCTTCCTAAATTCAGAGTTTTTAATAGAAAATATCTGGTGATTTTAGGGAACACAGGGAAGATTTTATTATTAGCCAACTTTCTACTTTAGTAATAAGAAGATACAATATCAAAGGACTCAAAAGGACTCAACAGACCCTGTAGCATGTGTCCACAGGGACATGGCACTAGGGTAGATTCTGAAGTGTCTGTTACTCAGAAGGTACAGCGTGACTGGAAGGACATCCTCTTATGTTATCTTCATTACTTCTGCAGTGGTTTCTGTTGCACACCATAAGAAGAACAAGAAATTGGTTTCGGTCTTAGTCTTTACCATTTTTATAAACTCAGACAAGTTGAAAATTAGGTTCTTTGGAGATAAAAACTGAATCATAAATACTTTAGTAGTTCCTAGGTAGCTCAAAACAATGGTTATCTGTTGGAAATTGACCACATAAAAAAGATTTTAAAGAAATCCTTTGTTGTGATGGGGAGATGCTGGGGGAGAGGATAAGAGTGCTGGCTGTGTGTAAGCATGAGGCGGGCTGCAGAACTGCATGAAGCTGGTGTGGTCCCGCACATCTGTAACGCCATGCCTCGACAGTGAGATGGCAGGTAGGGACACAAGAGTCGCCGGGAGCTCGCCATCACTGAGCTTGATGGACACAGCAAGTTCCTTCCTCCAGTGAGGTGGAAAGTGGGGACCGCCATCAGATTCTGTCCTCTGACCTGTGCTGTAGCACTCAGTGCCTGCACTCACACACACATGCTTGTGCTTGCTCACCCACACACAAAATTGAGGCTCGAGGAACTTAGTATTTTGCCCAACGTCACAAATCTAGACTTTGACCTGGTGTTGTGCAGTCATGTCTCAAGTGTTGTTTGAGATGGTTTGGCTTCATTTGCTTCTTACTGTCTTAGTATTGCTTTCAACAGGGAACTCTCCAGAAAAAGCTGGAACCTGATTGTAGATATAAATAGGAGATAAGCCGTATTTCCTTTCTGTGGCTTGTAAGTGTCAGAATGCCCTTAAGTTACAGGAACTTTGTATTAGCATTAGCTAAAGGTTAACTGTTGTTGAAGTGTTGAGTTTTCCAAGAATACTAATAATACTAAAGATTTGGGGAAGTTTTCATTTTGTCTTTATACCTAAGATAAAAGTCCTGAAAATAGTCAGGTGCGGTGGCTCATACCTGTAATCCGAGCACTTGGGAAGGCAGGGACAGGTGGATCGCTGTGAGTTTGAGGCCAGCCTGGTCCACAAAGTGAATCCAGGACAGCCAAGGCTACACAGAGAAACCCTGTTTAAAAAAAAAAAAAGTCCTGAAAACAAAGATGTATGTATGCATGCCTCAAAGAGTATTGGGAAGTTTTTTTATAACTATGATATTAGAGTTAACTGATTATAAGCTGAGGCTCTCAACGAAACCTCATATAAGTAGCCCATCCCTTCCCTTGCAGGATGAAGAGACACGGAAAGATTATGACTACATGCTGGATCACCCCGAGGAATACTATAGCCATTACTACCACTACTACAGCAGGCGCCTGGCCCCCAAAGTGGATGTTAGGGTGGTGATTTTGGTCAGCGTGTGTGCCATTTCAGTGTTTCAGGTCTGTATTCATGAAGACATATTTCTGTGTGTGAGTACGCGTTGGTTTGCCTCGTGCTAGTATTTAAACAGGTAGTAGAAATACATTTTGTAAATTTTTATTCCAGTTTAGATTCATTTTTTTACACTTGAAGAACACTCATTTATTTGAGCACCTAATAATAATAAGATTTTTTTCATTGTATATACTCAATGTACATGGTGCTAAGTTACATACGGGTATTTTCATACAAATATATCTTATACATGAGCATATCTTCTCCCCAGACCCCTAGCATTGGAATCCTTGTCATCAGGGAGTCTGAGAAACAAGTGATAGCCGAGCGCAGTGCCCCATGCCTGTAATCCCAGCACTCCAGGAGGCAGAGGCAGGTGGGTCTCTGAGTTCAAGGCCAGCCTGGTCTACAAAGTGAGTCCAGGACAGCAAAGGCTACATAGAGAAACCCTGACTCGAAAAACAAAAAAGAAAAATGAAAAAAAAAAAGAAACTAGTGATAACTATTCTGCCAGTTACTTTTCTATGCAGTGATAAAATACCATGAAAAAAACAACATATAGAGGGAAGAGCTAAAACGAATTCTGCCTTACACTTCCAGGGGGAGTCCATAATGGTGAGGCAGGCATGGCAGCAGGGGCCTGAGGAAGAAGCTGGTCACATTTCATCATGCAGCAGGTGGAGGGAGCATACTGGAAATGGAGCGGGCTGTAAACTCTGAAGGCTGCTCCCAGGGTTGTACTTCCTCTAGCAAGGCTCCATGCCCTGGATGTGTCAGACCCTCCCAAACAGTGCCACCAAACACAGGGAATTATGGGGACAATTTGTATTCAAGCCACCTCAAATGCCATTGTATAGTTACAAGAAAACAAAAACAAATAAACAAAAACTCCAAACCCATTTTTTCTCATCTCCCTTTTAAGAGTGTTTGGCTGCTAATGACAACCAGATCATAGGACTTTTCAGTGATTTCCTATAAACTCGGGAAAAGTTAAGTGCACCCTTACCATGGCCTAGTAAGGCTGGCATGCCATTGGCTTATGCCACCATTACTCGCTTTTTCTAGTTATCCCAAATACCCCACACATTTGTATCCCCAGAAGGAGCTGCTGCTCAGCTAGAAAACCAGTGGTTCAGATTCAAAGAGGTACCACAGGAATCTACGAAGTTCAGCCTGTTGTGATGTCTTTCCTGTTAAGTCTTAAACTAACCATGTGTATCATATATTCATTTAGAGGAAAAGAACTTGTCAGAAGACTAGGAAGAAAGCATCCTGCGAGTTTAACAATTACTTATCTTTTTAAAAATGTTTATTTTTATTTTAAGTGTGTTAGTGTTTGCCTGTGTGTGTGCGTGTGTAACCATCTGTGTGCCTAGTGTCTGTGGAGGCCAGAAGAGGGTGTCATTTTCTGCAGCTGGAGGTAAATGGCTGTGTGTGCTGGGAACTAAATCCAGGTGCTCTGCAAGATCAGCATGTGTTCTTCGCCTCTGGGCCATTTCTCAAGCCCTAGAAATTGCTTCACAGTGAGGTGGTATGCTTGGAGCAGTATGGCTCTCCCCCTCTTTTTGCTGTATCTGGTAGATACAGTTACTAGTGTAGGAACTGCAGCATGAGTGAGGCAAAGCCTCTTCTGAGAGTTAAACACTTCAGAGTTGAATATGTTTATGAAATAAGTGAATTTTTCTCTTGCGAAACGAGTAGAATTCACATATGCTTGAGTCTTTATGTTCAAAAGGTGGCAAGCATCTCTGCCGGCTATGTAGGTAGTTTAGGGAAGAGAGAGACAGATAAAGTTGCCTGAGGTTGCGCCCTGTGCAGTTGTAAAGCAAATGTCTTCCTAGCTATTGTGCAATCTAACCTTTCTGTGGCAAGCAGGAGGGGGAGGTGTTTTACTAATAAAGTGAGGTCTTGAGGTCACTGGTTACTGTTTTTCTGAGACAGGAGACAGGTTCTTTCTACTTAGCCCTGCCTGGTCTCCAGCTTATGATCCTCTGCCTCGCCCTGCCAAGTGCCTGGGTTATAGGAGTGAGCCACTCACCTGCCAGAGGGCCGTTTTTTTAGTCAGCTGGCTTTCTTGGAGGAATGGCATTTCTGCCATTACTTCCCTTTGGTGGATTTTGCTAATAAAATGACTTATTTTTATATGATTTTTTTTTTTTATGTTCTAGTACTTCAGCTGGTGGAATAGCTACAATAAAGCCATCAGCTACCTGGCCACAGTGCCCAAGTACCGCATCCAGGCCACAGAGATTGCCAAGGAGCAGGGGCTGCTCAAAAAAGCCAAAGAAAAGGGGAAAAGCAAGAAGTCCAAAGAAGAAATCCGTGATGAGGAGGAGAACATCATCAAGAACATTATAAAAAGTAAGATAGACATAAAGGGGGGCTATCAGAAACCCCAAGTCCGTGACCTTCTCTTGTTTCAAGTCATCCTGGCTCCTCTTCACCTGTGTTCATACGTTGCCTGGTATTGTCGATGGATCTATAATTTTAACATCAAAGGCAAAGAATATGGGGAGGAAGAGAGACTCTACATCATACGGAAGTTTATGAAGATGTCCCAGTCTCAGTTTGACAGTCTGGAGGACCATCAGAAAGAAACGTTTCTTAAGCGGGAGCTTTGGATAAAGGAGAATTATGAGGTGAGTGGCAGTAGCCGCCGTTGGAAGGTGGGGTCTCACTAGAGTGTAGCTCCACAGCGAATAGGAGTCACTTCAGATGAGCTTACACTGCGGAAGTCCAGGAGGTAAATGATGAAGGCAGGTCCTACTTTTCTTGAAAGTATGACTACATTTTGTAGTGGAACAGTGGGTTTTTGGGCTAAATTTGTTTTTTGGGTTTTGTTTTTCAAAGCTGTACTTCAAATACGCTAATCAGCTCATCCTGGTGAAAACTAAGAGCAGTCTAACCTGTCTGACTGCAGTGGAATGATGTGAAGTCAGCTGTCCTAATGGCTTTCTGTTGTTTGCTCTAATTAAATTTGTTCCTTTCCAAAAAAAAGCATGACAGAAAAAAAAGAAATGTTGTTAAAATAATTGTTTATTTCAAAATATTTAAGCATATAATTTTCTGAATAGTACTACCAAACTTTGGGTTGTTATTTGCTTTTTACTGAAATCAGCTTACTGTAATTCCTTTAAATTTGGAACATTTTATTGAGTGTTATTTTTCACTATTGTCCCCCACAGAAATCTAGAGGTGCCCAGCTCTCTGGCCACAGTGCTGAAGGCTTCAGCAATCTCACTGTCCTAAGTTCTGGATCCAGTTAATTGGCTAATGTAATGAATAAGCATTGGACACCCTGAAACGCTATTCAGAAATTCAACATCTATTACATGTTGTTTTGTGTTCGACTCCATTTTGTGTGTAATCTTCTAAATAGATTTTTTTTTAACTGAGAGTAAAATTACTAGGAGTTGTCAGATGTTTGGCAAGTAAATATATTCCTGTATATAAATCACCTAAAAATGGTAGGTAATGTCCTATTCTTCAGCTCTTAAAGCTGCTTGAGGGGCTGGGGAGGTTCTGTGAGAACAGTCCCTGCCTCACCAGTGTGACTATGTCAGCTTGGGCTCCTGAAAACCACATGAAAAACTGGACTTGGTGGAGATAGGTGGATCTGCGGTGCTCACTGGCCGGCCACCTAACCAAACCCATGAGCTCTGGGTGCAGTGAGGGACCCTGTTTTCAGAGTAGAGGCTGGGAGTGAGGAGAAAAGATCCTCCATCAACTCTGGGTCTTTGTGTGCACCGCACATGTGAGCCCCAATTTACAAGCACACACACATGCATAGCTTTTTGAAAGGTTTTTGCTTTAAACTCTGTCTTTTCAGATTATTGTATTGGTTCGAATTATTTAATTATATGATGTTTTCTTGGTCATTACTTATTTTTTCTTTTTTTTCAAATTTATTTATTTTTTTAATAAATTACAGTGTATTCACTTTGTCTCCGAGCTGTAGCTCCCTCCCTTTGGTCATTACTTCTAATATTTGAAAGCAATACTTTAAACAAGTAATGGGGCTGAGCTGGGGCGAGATGGGGCACGCCTGTAACCCCGCACACGGGAGGCAGAAGCAGGTGATCTCTGTGAGTTAGAGGCCAGCTTGGTCTACAAATTGAGTCCAGGATAGCCAAGGCTACACAGGGAAATCCTGTCTCGAAGTAAACAACAACAGAAAATTAATGTGGCTATAAAACTGGAAGAAATTGTTCATTTAGCTTTGGTTGACTAAAGCTTAGATAAATACTAGAACTTCTTGGTTCTTAACCTAGATGACTTATACAATCTTCTTTGGTGACTTTAAAGAAAAAAAAAAACCTAATAATTATTTTTGAAAAGTAGATGTAAATTCAATTTGGAAGCAAATGTGTATGTAAGGCCAATTGTTCCTTGTTAAGAGGGAAAGAAGTACTATTTCAAGCCAGGTCCCAGCATGGTGCTGTTGGCCTATCTGTAATCCTTGGCATTGGAAAGGATAAGGCAGAAGGATTGTGAATCCAGAGTTAGTCTGAGTTACTCAGCAAGGTCCAGGACAGCCTGGGCTACATTGCAAGACCCTAGTCAAGTACTTCCTTTAGCATTTTAGTCAGTGTCCAGAAGGCAAAGCAGCATGTTCACCTAGGGTTATATTTGAAAACCAGAAATGCCAAAAATACAACAGGATGGGTATCTGTTTGTGTCATAAAGTCAACTAGTGTTGTGTATGCTCATAGGTCTACAAGCAGGAACAAGAGGAAGAATTAAAGAAAAAACTGGCAAATGATCCTCGGTGGAAGCGATACCGTAGATGGATGAAGAATGAAGGGCCCGGACGGTTGACATTTGTGGATGACTAATGGAAAGCTGCTATGCCAAACTTTGTGATATTGCTTTTATAGCAATTATCTGAGATGTAGCTGCTGCACTCAGCAGTAACTAAAGTTCACGACCATATGATTAAACAGAATAATGTAAGAATTTCAACTTTCCCTTAAAACTTTATACAGAAGACATTTATGATGGTTCAATTTTTATAATCTATTTGTGAATTTTGTTAAAAAAAAACATTTGACATGGGGACTTATTAGTTGCCATTTAAAATTTTTATATGTTTAGTTAAATTTGACATGAAATTTATTAGATACCATTTAAAACTTCTGTGTGAAGTGTTTCTTCTTCAAAAGTGGTTCGTTATGTTTTCATAATGCTACATTTTTCTACTTTCCTGGTCTCTATTTTTACAAAACATTACAACAGCACTTGATCATATTATTGTGTCTTTCTGGACACGGTGTTTTAAGAGCCATTCAGTGTTATGTTGTCCTTACTGTAGTCCTTACAGGTCTGAGCATGTTCAGAGTAATCTCTAGGAGAGTCCTCTGGGATCTCTGCAGTCCCTCCCAGTGCCTCTACTCTTGTTAACCAGAAACTCTCCAGGGGAGCGGGTCGCCATCGTGTCCCCGTGGGATGTTGTTGATTACAGGAGAGCGGGTCACCGTCATGTCCTCGTGGGATGTTGTTGATCGCAGTCTCACTGTAGGACTGACTGTTTTCTCACGAGTTTCTGCAGAGGGGACCTTGTGGAAAGGTCTTTTGTGTCACCATCTTGCTACTTTCTCTCTCTCTTTCTTGTTTAATCTTTCATTACCTGTGCAATGAAAATGTCATGCACAAGAGGGCATTTACATGCAGTTCAGCTAGAAAGAAGATAAACATGGCTGTGTGCTATTCTCTCAGTCACGAGGGTATACATGTGTTTTTATATTTACGGAAGTGAAACTAAATAACAGAATTGACTGACTCAAACCTGATACCAAAGTACCATATACATTCATATACAATGCTCCTGTTACAGATTTAGCCTACTGTTTCATATTAATAAATGGTTGTGATATGTCATGATGCCTGATAGGATTTGTAAAGATTAACATATTGCTTTTATACTATATACTTTTAAAAGATTAGTGTAACATAGTAGATATGCAGGATTTATTTATTTATCTACTTACCTACCTACTTAACTACCCATCTATCTATCTATCTATCTATCTATCTATCTATCTATCTATCTATCTATCTATCTATCTTAGTTTGGTTTTTGAGACAGGGTTTCTCTGTGCAGCTGTGGCTATCCTGAACTTGCTTTGTAGACTAGGCTGGCATCAAACTCATAGTGATCCACCTGCCTCTGCCTCCCTAAGTGCTGGGATTAAAGGCATGCACTAGTATGCCTGGCCAGGATTTGTTTCTAAGTGAAGTAAATTAGTCCTTTAGGCACTCGATAGCTCAGTTGGTAAATGCTTCCTTGCAAACAATGGGAACTGGCTTTGTCCCTCACCGCTGATCTCATGTAAAACAAGCCAGGCAATACTCAGACAAGAGAACCTCTCTCAAAAGCCAAGGTGGGCAGCACCTGACAAGTGAAAACCAACGTCGTCCTCTGGCCCTCACATTCAGGCACACACTTGTGCATCTGCATACAGATGAACACACACACACGAGCACATGGGCACACAAAGCTCAGTCCAGATAAATGCAGAATCTCATCCTTGACGATTAGCCAAAAGACTGGAGGTCAGTTCATTTAATGTGAATGGATTTTAGTTGCTGAGTACAAAAATAGAATATGACCAGGCTGTCAGCAGGGCTCTTTGCAGATCTGGGGTTCTGGAATGATACAGTTATTTAGAGCTCTATAAACTTTAGTTGGAAATGTTTTATGTGTCCATTCTTTTTTAGGGTTGTGGAGAATCATAGCCCCTGTTGCTCATGAACAAAGAACAAATTTGTATCATATAAAGAACAGAAAGAAATACTAATGCTAGTGTACCTCAACATTTCCCAAAAAGTCTCTGCCTGTATTTTTCTAGTTTCACGTCTGTTACTGTAACAGATCTTGGTTGACAAAAAGCAGCATAAGGAAGGAAAGGTTTTCTTTGGCTTACAATTCCAGGATACAGTCAATCATTTTGGTGAAAGGCTGAAACTCAAACAGCTAGTAATACACCCACAAGAGCAAGGAGATGGTATATGTATCCTTTGGCTCTCCTGTTGTTCATCATTTTCTTCCTAGGGAATGGTGCTGCCTACAGTTGGCTGGGGCTTCCCACATCACTCAGTTAACAAGACAATACCCCAGACATGTCCACAGGCTACCCTCAATGAGGCTGTTCCCAGTTAATTTTTAGTCATACCAAGTTGACAATAAAAATGAAGCAGCACACCTGTGAGAATTTCTGCACTCCATCCCTAGGATTGTTCCCTGATGGCCACTCACGTGGGAGTGTGGCCACAGTCTTGCATGAGTCCAGGTGGTCTCTTACAGAAAGGTGGTGGGTTTCCATTGTGCTTCAGATTCTCAGGAGGAAGGAAAGGCCGTTGCTTGCTATAATCACATGCGTCACCAAATTCTGCCCATCTTCCACCAAAACAAAATCTCTCCATTTTAGAAACATCCAGAGAAGAGCAGAGGCTTACAGCTCCATTAGTGGAGGGATTATGGGTTGGTTGGCAGGACACAGCAGTTCACTGTTGCCTATTCATCAGTTCATGTAATTGAAATCTGCAAAAGCCTTCCCGGTTTTATTCAGATAAATATCTTCGTAATAGATCTTCTGTTAGTCCTTCTTGGTGTGTTTTGAGTTCTTCAACTTAAGTTACAGCCCTTAATGAATCATTAAGAGCAACATAGTGAAAATGGCCACCCCACCAAAAGCAATCTACAGATTCAATGTAGTTCCCATCAAAATTCTAACAATTCTTTACAGAATTGTGTATTAAGTATTGAAAGGACAATACTTAACTTCACATGGAAAAAAAAAACAAAAGAAAAACAGGACAACTAAAATAATCCTGATACTTCTAGCAGTATCACCATTCCTGATTTTAAGCTCTACTACAGAGCTATAGGAATAAAAACTGCATGTCATTGGCATAAAAAAAAAAAAAAGACACTATCAGTCGAATCGAATCGAAGACCCAGACAGAAATCCTCACACCTATGGACAACTGATTTTTGGTAAAGAAGCCAGAAAGTGATAGTGGGAAAAAAAAGACAGCACCTTCCATAAATGGTGCTTGTCTAACTAGACGTCTGCGTGTTGATGAACATAAGTAGATCCAGATGGTCACAGCAGCAGACTATTTGCCTCATGTGGGCTCTGAGAGGAGCTCTTTGCCAGCTGCAGACAGTTTAAATCTGAGGACTCTGGAGACAGAGTAAATGCCAGATCCCAGAGAGTGTGGAAGCTCAGAGAAAGAACAATGCTGCTCCTGCTTCCACCTTGCTCTGTTGCTGTTATGAGACAAGAAGTTGGAGATTCCTGAAGTGAGGACTGGACTGGCTCCACCCTGATGACCCTAACCAGCAGGAACTGTGATCCCCTCTCCCAGTAACCCTTTCTCTCTCCTACCTGGTGTTGGGGTGTTGGAAGGAATTGGGATGGAGTAGAGAGAAAAAGATATAAGTAATATAAATAAGAGTTTTTTCTTTTTTTTTTTAATAAGAAAATATGCCAACAGAAGGTGGGGGTAACAGATCTAAACAGAATTCTCAACAGAGGAATCTCAGATGGCCAAAGAAGCACTTAAAACATGTTCACATCCCTAGCCATCAGGGGAATGCAAATCAAAAAGACTCAGATTCTTACACCTGTCAGAATGGCCAAGATCAAAACCAACTCAGCGCTAACAAGAATGTGGAGCAAGGGGAACACTCCTTCATTGTTGGTGGGAGTGCAAACTTGTACAGGCACTTTGAAAATCAATACGGTGGTTCCTCAGAAAATTGGGAAAAAGATCTACCTCAACACCCTGCTATACCACTCTTCGGTACATGCCCAAAGGATGCTCCATTCTACCACAAAGACACTTGCCCAACTATGTTCATAGCAGCTTTATTCGTAATAGCCAGAAATGGGAACAACCTAGATGTTCCTTATCCAATGGATAAAGAAAATGTGGAACATTTAAATAATGGAATATTACTCAGCTGTTCAAGCAAACAAAAACCACACACCACCGTGAATTCTGTAGGCAAATGGATGGAACTAGAAAAAAAATGATCCTGAAGTAACCAAGACCTGAAAAGACAAACATGATATATTCTAGTTTATAGAATGAATATTAGTTGTTAAATAAATTGTAATCATGCCACAACCCACAGACCCAGAAAGGCTAAGTAACAAGGAGGGCTCAGGGGCATTCATAGATCTCCCTTCTTTCTCTCCTACCTGGTATTGAGTGTTGGAGGGGATCAGGGTGAAGGGAGGTAGAGGCTTTAAGGAACCCCCAAATAGAGGTTTAAAAATTAGTGCCTACAGGAAGTTGTCTGGTTACAGAAGATGGCCAGTTCAGGCTCCCCATATCCTCCATTATAAAACTGTTATTTCTCAGTTTCCTTCTTAGCCTGGCTAACACACAAAAGAAACTTATTTTAATAAGCTTCACAGCACAAGAACTGAGCAGCTATCACTCTATTCTTAACCCTCTAAGTTAATTTGGCTTCCAGTGTACAACCCAGGGATACTTGGACTTTGTAGCTTTTTCTGTTCCAGCTCCTTTCCTGATGTCACCTGGCCCTTCTTACCTGGCTGAATTCCTTCTTCCTCTAACTCCTTCCCCTGGCTGGCAAGAAGTCCAGCCCTATTCTCTGTCCTGCTCAGTGATTGGCTGTAACCTCTTTATTGGCATATCAGGGGACAATTGGGGAACAGTCTTTACTCAACATTGTGGCAGGAGAGTCTCAAAACAAGGATTGCAATCAGCTGGCAAGTACAGAAATCAGCATTTGAATTACACAGTAACTTTATGCCTGTATGATCTGCCTGGAATCTGAATACTGGGATTTTTTTTTTTTAAACATTACATTAAAAAAACTAGCTTACAAAGTTTAGAGCAGTAACTAGTTCAGTTCTGTTGCATTTATGTTTATAAATAATCAGTTTGTTTCCTTCCGGTTTATTTTTGGGGAAAAGGGTGTGAAGAACAGCAAACTTTTAACACTCAAACCCTGTAAATACTGTTTGATTGGAAGCCTCCTGCTTTGCTAACATCCAGCTGCGGTTGCACGTAAGCAGGCAGATCTCTGAGTTGGAGGCCAGCCTGGTCTAAACAGCGAATTCCTGGACAGCCAGGGCTACCCTGACTCTGTCTCAAAGACAAACTGGACTATTGAAACAGGATAAACTGGACACATGAAAGTTCTGTGGAAATTAGGATCTAGCTACTTTGGGACACTGAATCAAATATGGTCTCTGCATCTGACACACTGAGACAAGACATGGCTGGATGAATTACAGTCAGCCTGGTTGGCAAAAATGTGATGACTTCACATTAAGAATGAGAAAAAAATCAAACCTAGAGCATGCTATTAATAACCAAATTATTTAACCCTTATGGTTACCTCATCTGCACGATGGGATCTTTTTAAATAACCAGGTTTGAAGGTTTGATGATAGATATTACTGAATTCAGACGGCCCTATGCATAATTTACACGGGTCTGAAGTAGACCGCTGTAAATTTTATTGCAACCGACCTTCTAAGCAGTACCCGCTTTGGAATCCAGGAAATAGGGACTGGGGTGTGTGTGTGTGTGTGTGTGTGTGTGTG